AACTTGGTGAGACCTTGTCTCTACAATAAATCAAAAAATTAGCTGGGTGTGGTGGCGCGTATCTATAGTTCCAGCTACTTGGAAATCTGAGGCAGGATTGCGTGAGTCCAACAGGTGGAGACTGCAGTGGACATGAGCATGCCACTGCACTCCAGCCTGAGCGACAGTGAGATTCTGACTCAAAAAAAAAAAATTAAAATTGTGTATTTATTCTTAAATGTTTAAACTTCAGTCATCTTCAAAGTACTCTCTGTTTGATGCTATACACCTATTGAGATGCGTTTTCCACTGCTCAAGACAGTTTTTTGAACTCATCGATTTTGATGCTTTTTAGTACTTCTGCTTTTTTTGTTTCACCTCTTCCACATCAGCAAAATGTTTCCCTTTGAGGACGTTTTAAATCCAGGGAAACAAACAAAAAAATATTGCTTGGGGTGAGATCTGTTTGAATAGGGAGGGTAGAGCATGGGGGTCATGCCATTTTTTTGTCAAAACCTGGTGAACACTCGGTGCAGTGTGGGCAGGTGTGCTTGTAAATCACCCATTATGAAATGGGCAAACACATTGAAATAATTTTCAAAAAAAATTTGCTGAAGCCAAACACAGCCTCTCACCACAACGCTAACTGGTACACTGATGCCTAGAACATGTACCTATCAAGGGAAACCTGCACTACAAAGATCCCACCCACCAAAAGATAACGTGTGTTGTTTTTGACAAAAGTTAGTCTCTGACTAGATACAGGAGCAAAAGGAGGCTGGTTTTGTTTTCACAGAAGCTGGGTTTTTTTGAGTACTCCCTAGTAGATTTGAATGGACACCAAACTACCCACTTATGAAAATAAGTTTGTTCTGCTCTCACCATACTTAATGTTTAAAAAGTAAATCTGGAGGGGAAATAAACTCCATTTATTTCTACATTATTCTTTTTTTTTTTTTTGAGTTGGAGTCTTACTCTGCCACCCAGACTGGAGTGCAGTGGCTGCTCCCGGCCACCACAGCCTCGACCTGCTGGGCTCTGGTGATCCTTCCGCCTCAGCCTTCCAAGTAGCCGGAATTACAGGTGCGCGCTACCACGCCCGGCTGATTTTTTGATTTATTGTAGAGATGAGGTCTCGCTGCCCAGGCAGGTCTCAAACCCGTGGGCTCAGGCAATCCACTCACCTCAGCCTCCCAAAGATACGGGATTACAGGCTGAGCCACTGAGCCCGGCTTCTACATTATTCTTAATTAGCATTTAGCATCATCAGTTATGCCATTTTGAGAAGCTTTAGCAAGTCAACTATTGGGAAATACTAAAACAGCTGGTGTTTGAGTAGTCTGCAAATACTAAATGTAATATATGATATTTACTAAGCCTAACTGGTCTAGAAGAATATTTCATGAGGATTTTCTTGGTGTCATTTTGTCTTTTTTGTGGCCTAGGCACTTTCCATATACCTCCTTGCTTTGTTGGGATCAGAACAAAAGTTGTAAGAGAACTGAGCTATGAAAATCAGGATCTGACCTCTGCTAATGATAGGCTGTGTGGAATGTACTCTTCATTTATGTTGGAGGCTCTCTGGTCAGGAAATGATTTACCTTCTTTTATAACCTTGGACAGTTCAATCAATACATGGAAAACCAGACTTAAAGTTAAGATCCTTTGATTAAATCCTTTTAGGCTGGAAAGAGCTAAAAATACTCTGCTTTTACTTTTTATTATACTGCAGAAAGCACAAAATCAGACTTTGCCTTATGTTTTGTTAGTGGTCTTCTGTTTCTGAAAGACACCTTGAACTCTCATATAGATAACCTTTTATGAGTGTTTTTTGGAAGGTTACTTTCCACTTATCTCAGTTCTTAGAATAAGGAAGAAAATGAGCAAGTCTCTTATTTTGGCTAGTCCCTGTAAGTAATGGGACTTAAAAGGAAGGTAGGTACCTACAGTTTTCCGTAGGGGATTGCTGCCATGTTCTGAATCTGAATAGGGTTTCAGTGGGAATCCACTAGGACTTCCTGGGATGACACCACTCTATGTTCTTTTCTGAGTTTCTGATAAGGAGACAAGCCATAGCACAAGGAGTGACATGCTCTTGGGCAAATTGTTTTCTTCTCTGTAAAATGGGGCTGAAACTCTTTGCCTTCCATGGAGGTTATTAGGATTACATGAAATATGAAAGGACTTTTTGATAGTTCTTAGAACTTAGTCGGTGCCCAGTATACGCTGTTTTCCTTTTTTTTTTGAGTTGGAGTCTCACTCTGTTACCCAGGCTGAAGTGCAGTGGCATGCTGACGGCTTCTGCAGCCTCTACCTGCTGGGCTCAGATGCTCCTTCTGCCTCAGCCTCCTAAGTAGCTGGAACTACAGGCACGCATCACCATGCCTGGCTACTTTTTTTTTTTTTTTTTTTAATTGGAGTTTCACTATGTCGCCCAGGCTGGAGTATAGTGGCATGCTCATGGCCACCGTAGCCTTGACCTGCTGGGCTCAGGCGATCCTCCCACCTCAGCCTTCCAAGTAGCTGGAACCACAGGTATGTGCCACCACGCCTGGCTAATTTTTTTTATTTATGGTAGAGACGAGGTCTTGCCATGTTGCCCAGGCTGGTCTAGAACCCTGGGCTCAGACAATCCTCTCGCCTCTGCCTCCCAAAGTGCTGGAATTACAGGCTTGAGCCACTGAGCCTGGCCATTTTCTTAAATCATAAGGTGGTAAGGACTGGGCAGATGTTGGTTAAAGGATGTAAAATTTCAGGTAGGAGGAATAAATTCAAGAGATCTACTAAACAACATGATGACTGTAGTTGTTAACAATGTATTGTATACTTGAAAATTACTTAAGAGAATAGATTGTAAGTGTTCTCACCACGGAAAATAAATATGCGAGGTAATGGATATGTTAATTAGCTTGAATTAGCTATTTTACAATGTATACATATTTCAAAATACCATGGTGAACACCAGAAGTATGTACCATTTTTATTTCTTAATTTAAAAAATAAGGATATATAAGAGAATCTCACTAGTTAGGAGATTCAATAAAAGTAGAGGTGGTAGTAGAATGTGTTTTATGTTTTTAGTGTAATGATGAAGAAAGTTTGGTATCATATGGACATAAAGTTGGATCCAGCGGCAGCCATTGTGAAGTGTCTACTTTTGCTCATACCTGCCCTTTAGTGTCAGCTTATGAAAAACCAGATGATGAGTATGTGAGATTGGTGCATAATGGAAGCAAGGTTGCTTTGATTTGGAACATTTAAAAATATTTTGTTTTTCAAGTGAATATGATGTAGCCATTTATGGAAAGTTGTGTAGGGATATATAACAGCCATTCGTACTGAGGGAGAGGAGCCCTGTGGTACCTGGAATAAAGCCCGCCTGTTGTTTTCTCCCTTTTCCTCTATGGAAAGCAGTCATGTGCTAATAACAAGTTGGCCTTTTCTTGTAATTTGCATGTGCTTGTTATTTAACATCAGAGAGGTTTTTAAACTGAAGGATTAAAGATTTCTTCCCAGTGTCAACTTGTTTTGGTGACCAAAAAAAAAGAAAAAAAAATTTCTTCCCAGCCTTCTCACTGGTGATGGACAGAGTAACTCTTTTCTTTATTTGCTATTCGTTAGTGCAGCTGCCATTCGTACCCAACAGCACAGCACACAAGGTCGCCAATGGGTTGTTAATGGACCCATGTGTCTAGCTTGCCTCTCTAGAGGGTGTTGCCTGGTCATCTTCAGGGACGCTTTGCTAAACCTTCTCCGGTCCTGCCTATCCCTCCCTCATACAGAGGAGCAGTACAAATCAAGTTCCATAGCAAAACCACCCCTGTGCTCCATGGGACTTCCAACACCCCAGCATAAATACAACTTACAACATAGGTTGTACTGTTGGTAAGAACACAGCTGTTAGTGTCACAACACTCCACAGGATTGGCTTGCATTTGAATTTAACATTTGAAAAGCCATTTGATTTCTCCAGTAGAATTGCCTCACTTCAGGATTTCGTGTGGTGTGGTATTGTACAACTGAATCCCAGCCTTCCTCCTTATTACCTGTGTGATCTTGGGCAAGTTATTTACTCTCTCTGTGCCTTAGCTTCATCATCTGTAAATTGAGAGTACTAGAACCTGTTTGATAGGGTTGTTGTGAGAATGAAACGAGAGAATGTATGTACAGAGCTCAGTGCCTGGCACATCATGGGCCTCCATCAACTTGTCACTGCTGTGATGGCATTTATTAGTTGAGATAGTTTCTCTGACTAGATGCAGGGAGCAGAAGGAGGGCAGTTTTGTTTTCATGGAAGATACTGTATAGTCATACCTTTTGCAATGTGTATACCCTTTAAGTAGGACTTTGTACTGAGTTATGAGCCTTGGCCAGAAAGGTATGGAGACTTAAAAAAAAACCAGTGTATGTCATGAAATGATATGCAGGGACTTCATATCTGAAGATTTGAGGGTGTTATCTTTGTTTTTCCTCTTTGAAGCATGTAGTTAGTTCTTAATGTTTGTGCTGGGTTGCATTTTCAGTTACTGGGAGACTGGAGTAGCAAAACAGCATCTACTGAATGACCCATTCGAACCTGTTTCTTTCCCTTTTTTAAACCACCTTATTGAGGTATAAATTCCTATACCATATAGTTCACCCATTTAAAATGAACAGTTTAATGTGTTTTGGTATATTATTTTTAAAAATTGTAAGATATGTATAACAAGTTTTGCCATTTAACCATTTCAGGTGTACAGTTTGGTGTTAACATTCACAGTATTGTGCAATCATTGCCACTATTTCCAGCACTTTTTGATTAATTACTTTTTAATTAATTACCCCCAAACAAATTCTGTAACCATCAAACAATAACTCTCCATTTTCCCCACCTCCTCAGTCCCTGGTAACCTCTCATCTGTCTCAATGAATTTGTCCTTTTGTAAGCTGTTTCTTTTTGAGTGACTCATTTGGCTTCAGTGAGATTTTGACTTATTAGAACTGTTTCTATTTTGGAATCATCTGGAGCAGTTTTGTTTTGTAATTGAATTGCTGTCTCGTGCTTGGATTGCTTCTTGGGCACATAGACTTTAAGGTATATAGATGTGTACTTGTGCGATTCTCTCAACTGCAGTGGCTCATAAGCAAGACAGCAGAGCATGAAGGAAAGAATGGAGGCCTCAGGATAGGTCAAATGTCCCTCTTTGGCGGGACATTTGCCCTTCTGAAGCTCAGTTTCTGCATCTGTGAAATGGAGGTAGTGAATCTCCACCTTGCAGGCAGCCACACTGATAAGATTGCAGTGTCGGGTATGCTATGTGGTAGGTGTGCAGAGAGTGTGGTTTGTTATTGTGATCTTACACCACAGTGAACTTCAGAAAAAGCATGTAAATCTAGTTTTCATTTTATGGTAGGGAAACAAAGTGAGCAGTGTGCACTAAGCTGAGAACCCTTTGGTGGCAGTTTCTCTGTGTTGACAGGATCAAAGAGACATGAATCCATGATTCCAGTCAAATCTTTTTAAATAGAGAATGACAACTTAGAAATCCTCTTAAGAAAATACTTCAGGCCGGGCATGGTGGCTCACGCCTGTAATCCCAGCACTTTGGGAGGCAGAGACAAGAGGATTGCTTGAGTCCAGGGGTTCGAGACCAGCCTGGGTTGCTAGGCGAGACCTCGTCTCTATAGTAAATCAAAAAATTAGCCCAGCATGGTGGTGCATGTTTATAGTTCCAGCTACTTGGAAAGCTGAGGCAGAAGGATCACTTGAGCCCAACAGGTCGAGGCTGCGACTGTGAGCATGCCACTGCACTCCAGCCTGGGCAACAGAGTGAGATTCCAACTCAAACAACAACAAAAACACTTTATAACTGTCTGTGTATCTTAATTTTAAAGATCTTGCTGCGAAGTTGAGTTGTGAACAAGAAGATATCTGCCTGTATGTTAGTTGTACTCCTGTGCATTGAGCCTTGTTATGCTGGAGAGGCTGTGCGATTTATGAAGCAGTAAAGTGGAGCAGGCAGCCTCCTCCATTTGTCTGCCTCTGCCATGCACATTGCCTTCCCCAGAAGCATCTGGTGATGTCGGAACTGAGATCAGGGTAGGCATGATGGAAGCAGATTGATAGTTGTGGTGATTGTGGGACCCTTCTTTTCTATTGCCTACCTTTCCCCAAGAACTTGGTAGTAATCGTTTAATTTTATATTAATGGTGCTTGAATAAAAGAGTAGCAAATCTTTTTGAATATGATGTTGTCTGCCCCCTAGCTTCTGCCAAAAATGGATCTTGAACCTGGGATAAGAAGCATAACTCATCATAAACTGGCTAGACGTGGACCGTGGTGCTGTTGTGGATATTACTCTTTAATCATAAAGAGTCTAGGAAACAAGGCTTTTTTTTTTTTTTGAGTTGGAGTCTCACTCTGTCACCCAGACTGGAGTGCAGTAACCGCTCCCGGCCACCGCAGCCTCGACCTGCTGGGCTCTGGTGATTCTTCTGCCTCAGCTTTCCAAGTAGCTGGAACTATAGGCGCACGCTACCACACCCAGCTAATTTTTGATTTATTGTAGAGCTGAGGTCTCACCAAGTTGCCCAGGCGGGTCTCGAACCCTCGGGCTCAGGCAGTTCACTCACATCAGCCTCCCAAAGCACGAGATTACAGGCTGAGCCACTGAGCCCGGCTGAAACAAGCCTTTTAATAAAAAATGGACTCCTTTTTTAACCTTTTCCAGACTATTCAGATTTTGGAATTAAGTACCATGGAAGAGTAAAATCATAGTACTACAAATGCTTAGAGCAGCCTCCCAGATTCCAGAAGACTTGAAGCCAGCTTTTCCCTAGTTCACAAAATATAAGTTTTCCTAATACACAAGATGAATTTTTTTCTCACATACTTTAACCAAAGCCCTTTATTTCTCCTCAGAGTCTTGTTCGTTTATTTCATTTTTGGTTTCCTAAGTTACTATGACAAAAATAATCTCCCAAAATTAGTTTGGCTTGCTTATGCTAAAAGTTCTTTAGTGAACTGATTTTCCTAAAGGAGGCCAGGTGCGGCTATAATCCTAGCACTTAGGTAGGCCAAGTTAGGAGAATCGCTTGAGGCCAGGAGTTTCAGACCAGCCTGGGCAACATAGTGAGACCTGTCTCTACAAACAAACAAACAAAAAGTTTGTCTAGGGCACATTAAATTATTCTTAAGCCTTTAGTCTGGTCTTCTTGAAGACTGGGGACTAGTGCTTCTTCATGGAAGGGAGTACTTGCCTCGTTGATACTGTTATATCTCATTTCTCCCTTGTCATCTTGACTGCTAAGAGGCTTATCAGGTGAGCCATTTCTGTGGCTTCATCAAAAAGTGCTTTTGAAAGAAACCTTAAAGGGCACCCACCTGGCAACCTCTACCTGGCATATCAGCCCTGCAGATACTCCAGGGACTGTCCACCTACTGAACTGTTATAGTCTTGTGTTTGCTCTGGTTACTTTAAAGTATGTTTCCCTCTGGCCTAACAACTTGTTTATCATTACAATACAAAACAATTTGTTGAGGTAAAAATAAATCAATCAATGCTTGGATGTATATATAAGCAACTTGCCTCCTATGAAGTAGAGTATTGTATTAGTATCCTATGGCTGCTCTAACAAATTACCATAATCCTGGTGGCTTCAGACACCTATTGTTTATGTGAATCAGTCTCTCATCATTCTGGAGGCAGAAGTTCCAAATGAAGCCAGCAGCAGAGCCAAGCTCCTCCAGAGGATCTGGGGAAGAATCTGTTCTTGCCTCCTTTAGCTTCTGGTGGCTGCTGGCTTTCCCTTGACATGTGGCCGCGTTACTCCAGTCTCTGCCCCTGTGGTCACATTGCCTCCTCCTCCTCTCTGTGTGTGTCCTGTCTCCCTCTGCCTCTCTCTCATAAGGATATTTGTGATGACATTGAGGGCCCACTTGCATAACCCAGGATAATCTCCTCATCTCAGGGTCCTTAAACATCTGCTAAGATGCCGTTTCCAGATAAGGCAACATTCACAGGCTCTGGGGAGTAGAACATGGACATGTCTGTTTGGAGGCCACCATTCAACCTACACAGGCGTGTTTGTGGTAAAATATCAGTATCCTCAGCTATACCTAGCTTGGCATTGACCCTGCCAGGAGCAGGCAGGCAGTTGTTATTTCTAAGACTATGTAGCATTTAATTTATATTGTTCAAGGGTTAGTAGTGTACTGTAAGAAATTTAGATTACCAAATAGCTTATCCATTGAACACCTTTCACTACATAGAGTATGTCACCGGCATTGACTATAATTTCTGAGGGCAACTCTCACAGGTAGGTGATAATGTCTGCCTTTTAATGCTGTGACATCTGTCTAGGATAACACAGGCCTGTCCTTGACTAAGATGAGATCCTTCCTCCACAGCACACAGTCTCTAAAGGGACAGTGCTGTATACAGTTGATTGCTTTTTTTTTTTTTTTTTAGTCAGAGTCTCACTATTACTCAGGCTGGAGTGCAGTGGCATGCTCACAGCCACCACAGCCTTGACCTGTGGGGCTCAGGCCATCCTTCTGATTCAGCCTTCCAAGTAGCTGGAACTTCAGGTGTGTATCACCACACCCAGCTAATTTTTCTTTTTTGATTTATTGTAGAGACAAGGTCTTGCCATGTTGTCCAGGCTGGTCTCAAACCCCTGGGCTCAGGCAGTCCTCACTTCTGCCTCCCAAAGTTCTGGGATTGCAGGAATGAGCCAGTGTGACTAACTAGTATATTTGTGTGTGTGTGTGTGTGTGTGTGTGTGTGTGTGTGTGTGTATTTTTTTTAAAGAGCTAATCTTAGTATCTTTGAAAGATTTCTTTCAGTGTTTGACTTGAATCTAAAAGATGTTGACTTAAACCATTGATTTATGTGGGACTAGTT